ATCGTGATGCTTTAAGCATAATACACATGCATTAGGAGACATAGCATCACGCTAGGAGAATACACTCATCCCCGACTTCTCCACCTTCCCACTACTGACAGATTACTGCAGGCAGCCTTTAAGTTATGAGTGTAGTCTTTCTGTAGGGTCCTTAGTCATCATTATATAGATACAAAAATCAACGGAAGCCTGTATCGTGTTTTCTATATGATCTCCTCTAGCCGTAACTACGATTGCTCCTCCTGTTTATCCTCAAATCTATTTGTTTGTGTTGTCTAAGCGTCTTGGCGATGATGCTAGTGCATCTATTCTTATTTTGTACTTATACGGGGTTATCAACCAGAGGAATAACTTGTATTTCCACCTCACTTCTAGTTTATTCTGCCAATTAGTATGTTAAGTTAATAACTTTCAACAAAATCTCCTTAATATTTGGCAAAACGCAATTAAGATCACTAAATAAGACTTCCTCGGTAGCACTGTCCAGTGGTATTATGAACAGGTTAAACACTTCACAACCTATCCCAATCTTCTTTACAGTGAATGATTTTTGACTATTACTTAGTAGTCTAATTCTAATTCCCAAATTCTTAAGTTTCTTATCGCGACCTGGGTCAAATAATGTAGCATTCATCGACGTAGCTGCAGAAAAATTAACTGAATTAAGAGTAACGGACAAAGATCCGGCTTTTCTTCGGACCAAATAATGTACTCTTGAGATGTTTAAGAGGAGTTTTTATTTAACCAAGTCATGGGATACTTTTATAAGATTCTTCTTAGTTCTAAGTAGCAAATTAGGCCTGTCAAGAATAGGAAAATTAGGAACAATACTAGAGAAACAAACTTTCAAAAGTCTAATGTGATTAACTTGTATGGCCACTAATTTCCTAGTCTTTGTAGTAAGTGATAAGTTTCGAAAACATTGGTTTAAATATGTACTTTGAATTATGATATCGAGGGATCTCTTAGCAGATTTATACCGGCAAACGTTTATATTGTTTAAAAAAGCGGGTTGAAGACATTCGTATGTCATTATCAATGTAATCACCATAGTTCTTTTAAGGTGAAGTGATTTTGAATGCCCTCAAGACGATATGAATAGGCAATCGATTGGATTGCACTGCCTTAAAAGAGGACTACAGCATCGACCTCTTCTAGGTGTCAATGAATTACAAGAAAACCTAAATTTAAAGGCAAACCATGCCTCTACCATATCAAAGTTTTTTAGTAGGATTGCAGATGAAGTAAACCCATATTGCCAATGCAGTCTAGATCTCTATTAATAGAGCTGATGAGATCCATAAGGGGTTGAAAGGTTGGTCCACTTTGGATGAAAATATCAGTTTAAAAAGACAAGACCAAGTGAGATTCAATGGCATTGTGAGTCTTACAAATATCATTTTTGAAATATTTAACTATTAGTCCATCACCTAAAGCAACTCAAGATCAAAATTTATTCCATCACTCAGTTATGCTAATATGCATGGGAACACTGAGCCACTCTTTAATAAGATACCTCCCCCCAAGAGTTTTTATTTATAGAGGCGATTTCCTCTGAGACTGCAACTACGACTAAACAAGTTCTGAGCAGAGTTAAAAAGCAACTAACCATTTCTCCGCTACATAAATCTCGTAAATCAACTGTCCTCTAAAGCAGATTTAACCCTAAGTATGATAAATAGATTTCAGCTAG